GGTTTGAAAGAAATGATCGTGTTTCAAGTAAGGTGTCACCCTGGATTTTCTGCTGCGCAAGACAAAAATTTCATCCGAGAACATCAAGTAGTTTGACAAACTTTACACTAATATTTCGAGCTACTTCTTATATGAAAGTTGTCTTTTTATGAGTCTACATTTTCATAAAATTGGTTGCAGGGTTAAATGATTGTTAAATTTAATGATAATCCCTTAGAGGTGGACAATGTTCATCCTAGAAAACCAGAAATATGATATAGTGATATCTATTGCATTGATATATAGCATGACATTGACATGATAATGTCTCTTGAGCTGATAAACTTGATAACATGACATAGTGATGTCTATTGCATTAATATATCGCATGATATTGACATGATAATGTCTCTTGAGCTAATACGCATGATAATATGATATAGTGATGTCTATTGCATTGATATATAACATGATATTGACATGATAATATCTCTTGAGCTGATAAGTATGATAATATGACATGGCGATGTCTATTGCATTGATATATAGCATGATATTGATATGATAATGTCTCTTGAGCTGAAGAGCATGATAATATGATATAGTGATGTTTTTGTGATTATATGTATAAAATTCTATTGATGAGATATGTGTGCGTGACAACATGCTACTGATGAGATATGTGTGCATGACAACATGCCACTTATGAGATATGTGTGCGTGGCAGCATGCTACTGATGAGATATGGGTGCATGGCAGCATGCTACTGATGAGATATGTGTGCATAGCAACATGCTCGTGATAAGCTATGGGCATATGGAGACATGCCCTTGCTATGATATAACGAGATGTCTGTGCCGACAGTTGTGATCTTTCCCTAACTCTCTATGATAGGATGAGAGTTAGGAGTGTGTGTATTTGGGAGGGTCGCCCCCCCCCAAAATCTATGTGAGACTACTCATTAGAACCCCTTTGGTAGTGTAACGCTCTCTCGCCAGAAGGGCAAATGAGAGGGTCGTCCGTGTCTTGCAAGGCCCCTGCCTATCAAAATTCTCCAAAGCATGTTGGGGGCTGTGTGTGTGTGAGGTACTACGCAACAGAGTGACTCGTTGGTGGTGCTTCCCTCCTGATGGGATGGTAGAGGCTCTAGGCATCGGGATTTGATCGGCTTGATGGGTGGGGCTTCTACGTCATGAGTTAGGGAGTTAGTTAGTATCTCTTGATATTGATTATGCTTGACATATACATGCATAATTGTTTTGATCTGTTATAAGGCTCATGCTTGAATGATTTGATCGACTTCTTGTCCATATCATATCTAATCAATCTATTTAGTTATTACTTTGCCATGAAACAAATCATGCGAGACACGTTTGTTAAATATGATTTGACTCATGACTCCATGCTTTGCAATACTAGCAGAAAAACCTGATTATTGACATGATAAGCATGATTGCATGGCACCTAGATCTATTTATTGGGCTTTACAGCTCACTCTTTTAATCTTCCTCCATGTAGAGAGATAGCCAGTGTGTTTGGAGCGGTGTGACCTGGGGATTGCGCTTGGGGTCCCTTACTCCCCTCCTGTCGAAGCTCCTTTTTGCATTATATGTTTTAGTTGACGGTTTGGCCATATAGTCCATTTTGATTTGAAATATGTCTTGATGTTAGGCCTTTTGTGCCTTGGACTTATATATATTAGTTTGGACTGTTTTATGTATCTTGGGACTTGGTTGTCCAGCAGATTATTGTTATGTATATTGTTGTTCGTTTCTTCCGTGGTTGGCTTTGATATTGAAAATTCCTCCTTTTCCAAGTGATTGAGCGCACTCTAACCCGAGTGGTAGTCTCTTCCTGTGGTTGTGACCCCACGCCCTATTGTCCTTCGGGGGGTCCAAGGTTATCCCTCTGTGGGTTTGGCAGGGACGGTAGGGAGCAGGGTCATGACATCAAGTCTAGAGAATGAGCCCCACCTATAGCTAGTTTATGTAGAATAAAGGCTAGAGTTTCTATGGTTAAGGTTTTACCATCTTTGTGAGACTTAATCTTGACCTTTGATCTTGGAGATCTGTGGGGTGAAGAGATCTTATCCATTCATCCATTAGATCAACCATTATGATTATAGGGATGAGGTGGAACCATTATACCTTAGTTTTCATAACTCCATTCCCATCAAATATGAAATAATAAATCAATCACAATTAGTTTCTTACAGCTTGTTTTGAAATCAATCATTATTAATTTCTTATACCTTCCAATTTTGAAATCAATCAAAATCTCTGCACAACAAGTTTCCTAGAATATCAAGTCAACGTATGACATAATTGCTATCTTTCAATTTAGGAAACTTTAGAGAAGGTGAGGCACACCACCCATAGGGTGGCCATGTGGGTTGCATGCCCCATAAAATGTGGGCCCAATGTATTCAATGGGCCCCCAAATACTTTAAACATAATTTCAAATAATAAAATAATTTTATAAAACCTCTAAATATTTTATTTTTCTATTAAAATAAATTTGAAAAATTGATTTTTCCTTAGTTAAACATCATTTCTCAATAAAATAAAATGCCTAAAGAATTTTAATAATTTATTTTAATTATCTGAAAAATAATTAAAACATATTTAAACATATCTAAGAAGATTTGATGAGAATAAGATCCATAGAGTTAGGATTACAATAGATATATTGAGGACTCCATACTCTTTAGAGACTGTATCTCACTGCACCTTCTCAAACTGACCCAATAGTTCCCATGATCCACAGCCACTCACAGGTGTTCAAGATTGGACTATCAAAGTCAGTCAATAGAGTGAAGGAGATACGATTCTAAACCATGGATTACAGGTCCCTCCCTGTGGACAAGTCCTGGCCTTATTTCAGCAATATGCTCCATGAGTCCTTTTAACACAGTCCAGTGTTTCAAGGAGGCATCTCTTCTGCACATGTATATATCACACACCCTTATCCAAAAGGGCCGCTTCTCGGATGGCTACTTAGTGTACATGTTGTGTGATGGCAATGATAAGGATTTAGGCCCTTGTCCTCTCAGGCCATCCATCACGCACAAGGGTCAAATCCATGGCCCTTAGCCAACTATCCAAGGCACATTTTCGACCTCATCAAGGGATAACCCCACATTGAAAATCTTATTGGTTGTGTTCACACAATGCCCAGGACTACCGGTTTTTGGACATCACGTTGAGCCATAGCCAGTCAAAGCTCAGGTTTGTCTAGGCATTAGAAATGCCTCACAGTCCAAAGTGGACCACAGTCCCACTGGAGCCAACTTTTCACTATATGTTCTTCATTACATGCTCTCATAAGGCCTTTTAATGGCCACAAAACCCTAACATTCCCTATTTTCTTCTATCTGCAAATGTTTTCTTTCATCATAACCCTCCAAACTAGCAAATATTCCCACATTAAAATCCACTAAAGCCATAAAATTAACCCATAGATTTTCCCTAAATAAAATCCCTTGAAATATTAACCCTAATTTTCTATCTAACGTCAAAACCTAATTTTTTACACCCGGTTAACTTCAAAACCATTGAACTAGTTGTGGAGACCTTTCAAAGTTATTTTAAAGTTTTTCTACACCCTCTTCTTCTCTTCTTTTTTATTTTTATTTTTTATTTTTGAGGGGGACGGGGGGAGGGGGAGGGGGAGGGGTGGACTCCCAAGGTCCCCCTCTCTGGGGCACTCTACAATTGTTTTTTCTCTTCTTTCCCTTCTTTTTTTTCGTTTTCTTTTTCCTTCCATTACTTCTTGTCTTTTCTTTCTTGCCTTTCTTACTTATTTTCTTTCCCTTCTTACTTCTTTTCTTTCATGTCTTTCTCTTCTTGCTTCTTTTCGTTCCTTGAATACTTATTCTTTCCGCTTTCCTAATTTTGTCTTTCTTCCATATTTTCCCTATCTTGGTCTTTCTTCAAATTGCTTTCATCATAACCCTCCAAACTAGCAAATATTCGCCGTTAAAAATTCACTAAAAACATAAAATTAACCATAGATTTTCCCGGGAATTAACCCTAAATAAAATGCCTTGAAACCTTAACCCTAATTTTGCATCCAAAGTCAAAAACCTAATTATTTACACCTGCTAACTTCAAAATCCTTAAAACTAGTTGTGGAGACCTTCCAGAGTTATTTTAAAGTTATTCTACATCCATTTCTACTCTTTGGCTATGGGCTAGCTTTGAATTTGATCGGTGGAATTTTTATTTTGGTTGGTTTTGTTTAAGGACCGATTTCAATTGATTAAGCATTTGAAATCTCATCTCCTAGATATTAAAACAAATTCCTAAAACTGCATGTTGATTTACAGAAGGTTGTTTTTTTTGGTACTGATATAGTAGATATTTTAGCTTTGTTTAAATTGAAAATGTTCTCTTAACGTATTTTAGGGGTTTTTATTAAAGATTAGTGAGTGAATGATAGTAATTTACATCATTTCCACATATAGGTCCTATGCACATGAAAAAGAGTACCTCAAAACTGTGGAACATGAACTCAAAACCATCCTTTCTTCATTTAGGCTAGTTTTCACCCTAAAAATCTAGTAGGCTGGAGATGACTAGAATCAATTCTCGGAATATGATGAGGTGTTTCTGTGTGGCTAAATTGCAGAGTTTATGCTCAAGCATTTAACAGTTATATTTTATGGATCAGACCTTGTATTTCTTATGCTTACATGTAAGTTGCTTTTATTAGTCTGGATTCCTCTTGTTGCAAACCAGCAGTCCAGTAGTTGCTTTGCTTATAACAGAGCACATTGTCATCATAATTCACAGCATCTCATGTGCGAGTGCATTAACTACCACACGAATACTTTCATTGTTGGCTGGGAAGACTGTTGCATATCAATATTGTCTTCTATGATGTTCACTTCAGTGATTAGTATTAAAGTAAGAAGTGTAGCTATTTCGTTGCTAAATATCATACTGGAATGTCTCCTTCAATTTCATTTCAGGTCTTTATGCATCACTGTATTAATCGTTGGTGTGCTTTTTGTTTACTAGGCACAGGTTTCTTCCCATTACAAAGTTGTATGAATCATTCTTGCAGCCCGAATGCCAAGGCTTTCAAAAGAGACGAGGTATACATTATGAATTTGAATTTTTTTGAGAGATTTCCTTTTTTTCTTCTGTAGTGATAGAAGTGGAGGCATGTTTTTTCAGGAATGCATGCCTCAGCAATGGCCTTGTCATATAATTTTTGAAGCTCAATTTTGCATGTGTTTATGCAATTTTGGTGTCCTATAGTTTGCATTAGTTGTTTTAGTTATTATGCCGGAGATTGGTGAAATTTATAATTTATCAAAGTCCATTGAAATCTCAAAATTTTATTTGTTCCTTCTTATAGTAGAATATTTGTTTGAATTTTGAAACTTCCATAGACATTGTGAGATGATTTGCATCCACTTCTAAGAAGATGTGGCCTTCAAGGGCTTTGGTTTTGTTTTCATTCTTGCTATATACTTGGACCCTAAATCAGTATAGAATTGTTCCCATTCATGTTATCCCTCTTTTTCTTATGTGCTTGCATTTATGGATGTGCATTATGGATAGTGGGTGCTGGACAGTGGGCCATAGAGATTGACTTGTATAAATTATGTTTTAACACATTTTCCTCATGACGCTGAAGATGTGTTTGACAGCTTTCCACAGTTAACCCCACACTCATTCTAGTGCTTTAATGAGGTATAGGTACAATCCGTCACCATGATAATGGGGCTTTATTGCTTGATGCGTGGTACTCACACGGCAGGCTGATGTGGCCTCGGGCTGGGGTGGGGGACTCCTCCTGCAAAGAGTATCTCGTAGCTTACTGGGTATATAGTCCTAGTCACCAATGGCAGATGCTATTTATACAGCATTTAAACTCAAGGTCTGGATGTCTAGCAAGGGCTAAACTATTCCTTTGATTCCTTGCACAATGCAGCTTGAATGGCATGACAAAACTGAGAGTTGGATGATAATGAACCTAGACTGTTGGGATTCGTCAGATTGGGACTTTAGATGCAATGCCACCTACTTGGATGGATGAAGTACAAGGTCTGGATACAAGCTTTGTCTCATATATTTCATAGTGTGAAAGATTTCATCAACATGGTCATGCCACCTACTTGGATGGATGAAGTACAAGGTCTGGAAACAAGCTTTGTGTCATATATCTCATAGTGTGAAAGAACATCCACATGGTCTAAATTCTGTCATCATAATCATCAGAGCCTTTTTCTTACTATTTTGGGTTGGCTACACGAATCCTGAGCTACCATTCTGCTCTATCAAGTGCTATACCCAAAACATGGTCCAAGTTCCAATGTCTTAAAAAATGGTTTGCTGGAATAGCTGAGTTAGTTGTGCTTATGTCAGAAACCCAAAATATTTAAAAAATATGTTTTGAATACGGAAGGGTATCTTCATAAATTTTGTGATTTTACTGCAGTGCTAATGTACTCTAGATTGGTTAAAAATTTCTTTCTCCTATTTATTATGATATTATTGTTTAGGAATTTAAGGGAAAAAACACATGATTTGTATATGTATATATATGACCTCCTTGAATTTCAAGTTTTAATTTGGCTTCCCAAGCTCCACATACAAGTTATCATATGGAAAATTACTAATTTGCCCTAACTCCTCACTCTTGGATGAAACTTTCTCCCTCTATACTTTTTCTCCATCCAAGCATATTGTTTAACCAAACTAAACCTTGAAAACAAATGAATTATAGGGATTTATTTCAAAGAAAGTGCATGACTGGGCATAGGCTTTTTCATGGAGTAGATAAGAAAATCCCCTTCTGGGGAACAATGAAGAGGGAGAGGCTAGAGAGAGAAATTTTGTTGGGATTTTGTGGCCGTGTAAAGGCCTTATGAGTGCTTGTAACAAATTTTAATATTTACAATCTCTCTAGGCCTTTAAAGGCCATAAAACCCAACATTCCTGACCGTAAGATGCTCCAATTGGGATCTAAAACTATTTTAGTGCTTTTTTGTATGATATGCTGAACTAACAAAGCTTATATGTTTCTGGGCCTGGACTCCAATGTCATCATAGGGTCTAGGGGGAAGCAGAGTTTTTCAAACACAGGGTCATTGGTGAGCATGATAGAGAATGCTATGAACATCACATGGAACATAAACTTAATGAGCATGAAAACTTTGAAGCCTTGGAATCTAGGAGGAACAAGAGAGTAAGGAAAGCGACTGATTTTGGACTTTACTTTCAGATGTATATCTTAGAAGAAGACCCTAAGTTTTAAGCCGCCTCGTGTGATGCCCCATTTGGAAGGAAGTGGTCAATAATGAGATAGATTTTATATTGACGAACATTACTAGACAACACTTGGAAACTTGTGGTTCTACCTAATGGCTCTAAGAGTTTGAGATGTAACTGGATTTTCAGAACGGAAATAAAGCTGGATGATACTATTGCAAAATTTAGAGTGAGATTGGTTGCTAAGGGTTATAGATAAAAGGAAGGTGTTGACTTCTTTGACCACGTATGTAGCAATCACCCAAATAGCCAACATCTGAGTACTCATTGTTGGCTTTGATATATCATCTAAAGATTCACCAAATAGATGTTATAACTGCTTTCTCCATGGTGAACTACATGAAGAAATTTAAGTAGACTTCTAGGGGATTTGTCTTGAAAGGACAGGAACACAAGGTACTATGCTTGTGAATCACTACATGGATTCTCAACCAATGACACTGACAGATTTGTATGTACCAGAGTGAAGGATGGTATTGTTGTTACTATTTACTTGTATGTGGATTATATGTTCATACTAGGAACCAGAGTGAAGGATGGTATTGTTGATATTATTTACTTGTATGTGGATTATATGTTCATACTAGGAACCAGAGTGAAGGATGGTATTGTTGTTATTATTTACTTGTATGTGGATTATATGTTCATACTAGGCAGTAACATTACATGCATAGAGGATGCTAAGAAATTACTGTCTTCTGAATTCAATATAAAGGACATGGGGCAATCTGATGTGCTTCTAGGAATCAAGATAATGAGGAATCAAAATGGGTATTATTTGACCCAATCTCATTATTATTAAAAAGAATACTCAAAAAGGGCTAATCACTTTGAGATTGAACGAACTCCAGCTCCATATGATCCTTGTAGTAAAATTATATAGAGTTTTTTAACAGAGACAGTTGAAAATCGTGCTCACTCTATATAGTAAGTATGGAGTTACTACAAATATTAGGCCCTACCCAAACCAGGCCTTGGGCACTTGTGCCAAAACCTAGAGACTGGTTTTGGTCTGTTAAAATTTTACGATTAGTAAAATACATGTATAATTTTTATCTCCTTTTGGAAAGGATGTCGATTAGAAAACCCTTATTTTTTTTTTGGCTTTACATGGGAAAATAAACATGATTAAGTGATATATTATTTGTAGAACCTCGATGTCACCAATATTAATTGATAATTTGGGCCTCTTATTTAAAACACTAAGTTAGATTTTTATTTCATATTTATTTTATTTACTTGATTTAATTTTGTAATATGAGATTACGATATAGTATTTAATGATTGCATGCTGAGGATGAATGCACATGCACAAAAATATTTTTATATAAATAATAAAATACAAAATTCTATATTTTATTTGTGTGCAAGTGAATTCATTTTTGTGTGCAAGCGAAACTCTGGATTTCGCCTAAGAAAATGAGTCTTTTTCAAATGTCTGATGCATACATGGGAAGATGTTTTCTCAAAAGCTAAAATAAAACATTAGAAAACATTAGAAGGAACCTATGTCTGTACTGTTTATGCATATTGTTTTGCATGATTTAATATGATAAACTGAATTTTGGCATGTGTTTGATAAATTGCATGATATAAGAACAAAGTATTCATACTAAATACTTTTATTTGGATGTGCATAGTCGTTAGAGGATCAGATCGAGTTTTTTCTACGTAAGGAACAACTAGACCCTTTTAGATTTGTTAGGTGTTGCAAGTAACCTGGTTTAGTCTAAATTTTTTCAATTTACCTCTAGGGTTTAAAGAAATCTCTTTCACCATTGGTGCTCTTTGAAGAAACTAAAAAGGAGATCCGACATGCAATTGTGGACAAATCATACAAAGTCAATTTCGAATATTTTATGGATATTAGTGTATTATTCTATTCATGTTTCTCCTGCTTTCTTTGTTGGGATTGTAGCCATTTTCATGTGTTCTTGGTATTAGGTTTTCGGGATTCATTTGTGGTAAAACAAAGTGAAATAGCACTTTGAAACTTGACTTTTCATAGATACTACAATGTGGAACCCGACAGGGTTTTTGGAGCCCAACTTTGTGGTAATTCCCCAGGGGACCTTCCACTGAGCAGTTTACAAAGAGATCCCAAAGTTGTAGCTAAGTCATATACTATGCTTGTAGGTGTTTGTGAGCATCCTTGAGTCCTAATGGTGAAGGGCAACTCTCTGCTTATTACCTGATAAGAGCAGCATGACACGTCATATCTTGGGTTATTGCTAACATCGTGGAAAAGTTCCTCATCCTAGCAGAAGGGATGATTGTCTTTTTGTTCCACATGACTAGGGAAGCAGATGGGAGGCTGACTCATAGCTGCTTGGATTTCCTCTCCCCTAAATCTTGCTCTTGCACTCTGGCAAAGGGATCTTCAAATAATCATGATTTTAAAATTTTAGGTTCTCAATCCTCACCTGTTAGGATTCTTGATCTGCATTAGAGACCAAGATAATGACCAAATTGATGGTATTCTTTATTTATATCCCACCAGCAATAAAATTATACTTTTGATATAGTTGTATTGTTTGCTGACTATAAATAAAGAGATCCCTACTTTAAAGAGTACATAGGCCTAAAGTATATATACTCGTTAAGGTTGGGCGCAAGAACCCCAAAAGGTTGGGGAATGTGATCATGGGAGGTTGGGATCAAGATGACCAAGAGGTTGGGCTTTTAATTCCTAACATTTGGGGACTGTGATCCTTAATATATGCATTTTACTGATGGCATTCCCAACTATAGGGATCTTTCTATCCTTTCACAATGCCCTGTTCTCGATCCCACGCTTGGTCCGCTCTTGATCGCCCGTCTTCATAAGTGAGGCATATATATATATATATATATATATATATATATATATAGTAG